TGCAGCAAAATATGAGAGACACAAGAATAAGACAAAGAAACACAGTACGAAGGGGGGATAGTATAACGTAGATTATCTGTGCCAATGACGATTTCAATTTAAGATATACGTAACTTGATGCCATTTCAAGCAACCTAATGTGATTATGAACAATAAATTGTGCTTGAAACTTCATCAGTAAATATTACTGTATAACTCTGTTACTTTATCAAAAAAATTTTATTCACAACGAAATATATAAGTTCCCTATATGTGTATATCAAACTGCTAATAAACATTCCATTACCAGGCCTACTGTTTTCTCTCGTTACAGTGGTATACACAAGTCATTCACACATCCCCAAAAATTTAGACCAGCTGGTTTATTGCATGAGCTTGAAGATTCTCCAAAATAAATCAATCGGAAACTATAATACAGTATATATTCATTCCTGTCTGTCAAACCAGGTTGTCACCTCAGTGCATGCATCAACCGTGATTTCACGGGTAACAATGACAGGTTGTCCATCCTAACAAATAATAACTAGCGTGACTTAAAAAGGATAGAATCAACCATGAGAATAAATGTCATTCGCATTTCAACTAGTGGGCGTTATTTGGGAGAATTAAATTAAATATAGACCTCCGCTTCAGAGATACTTCCCGCAGAAGTTATTACCAAGATTTTCAGTTGCATACGCTTCTTAAGAAGCTATTTCCCAGTAGAAAGCACAAACAAAAGATATGAATACTTACCATAACAACATAAATTGGACAAGATGTTTGTGTTTATAATGATACTACAGTGTGTTTAACAGGTCTTTCACAGGATCCCTCTACGGAAGGTGCAAATGTAATGGACCAATTACTGATTCCCTCTATAATGTGCCTGTTTCCAGTAAGAGATATCTTGTCCATTCCCTTCGCTATAATGAAAGGCTATAAATTTGTTCAGTTTTGCTTGCTGAAAAACCCAACTGCTGATTAAGGCATTAGGGATAATCCCTACAAACTCAGTTTCAAAGAAAACCATCTCCATGAAACTGGAATTCATAAGTCATTAGGCTTCACATACACTCAAAAGCCGTCCTTTTAAATCAGTCAATAATGCATTGTTTGCAGCAAATCTTCAGTTGACTTTCATCAGTTGAAATTAGTTCTCAGTTTGTATAGAATTAAAGCTCGGCCATCTGGTAGCTTCAATGTGAACCAAACAAATCACCTTCTGCTGTAGAGCGAAATTCACTGGAAATGGACAGAATGCTTTCTACCAGAGCATATTCAATAAAGTTTCACAGGGGAGGAGGATATATGGCATTCATGACTAACATTAACTGCATGCCATCACGAAATGTTTTTCGTATTTTAGAGGATCTGTCTGTTGCTTTTATTTGACTATGATCTAAATGGAGCACGTACTTATGGAGTTGAAGGATTCATACTCGCGTTTGCACATAGTGACGTCCTTCGTCTTCTTAAAGACCCAGTCAACTCAGTGATGTATCATAAAAGGTGTTTCGTTCATAATTGAGATGAAAACATGCATCCTCAATAAAACTATGGTGAGCCGATTATTCCGTTGGGTTACTTTTCAAAAGTATCAAAAGTGGAAAAGAAAACTGGGTGGAAAACTGAAGTCCATATTGTACGCAATGTGAACAGAAACACTATGTGAGAATTGGGATATGAAAGTGAACATATGGTAGTCCATCTTGAAGGCAGTAGAGAAGTGGATGTCAAATGCTATTCAATGTCCATATCTTGTATCTCGCTTTCGATCACAGCATAACACTTTTAACCGCATATAAATCACATTTGGTAGTCGTCCAAAATGTCGCAAAACGTTTGGACATTACTGAAACCATGTGCACCTCTTTGTATGACGAAAACTCAGTAATTAAAGTCTGAATACAGGAGTCTAATCGACGCATAACTCTCCATAGCTTGACAAACTCCCTTGATCACGTATGGACGTAGCACATACCTTAATATTGGCTGTTCATCAGTTGACCATAACTATCAGAAGGAAACGGAACGAAGTTTGGGTTGTCGCTCAATTTTGGTGGTGACCTAATTGAAGGGTTTACAGTTTGACATTTATAAGGAGCTGTTCTGATGGCTAGTATAATAATCAAACTGTTTAAACTTTTGAGAAAGTATTAATTTACGGTACTTCACGACTGTAATTTATTACCTAACTGATCGTACCTCCAAAACTAGCATGCATTTCTTGTAAACGCCCGTTTATACGAAACATGAAACAATTATTAGGCACCCTTAGTTGAACATCATCACCTTATGTTTGCTCAACTTCAGATGGCTTTGCATAACATAATAAATTATAGTCATATAAACGCAAAAGCTACTGCAGCTTGCTGACTTGGGAAAGTATGTTGCACCTACCGCGACACTAAGAACCGTAACAATGATGGATAAAATACATAAGTTAGGAGTTACCCTCCCAGCGGTTTCAACTCATTTCTTAGCGCCTGATTCTCGGATGTCGCAAATTACGAGAACCTCAGCATTTCCCATCTGTTATATTCCGGTGCAGTAATATCATCTCAATTTAACGCGGATAGTCTGTCAACTAGGCAAAATCTAATTAAGCGTTAAGCGACTTTCGCTAACTTTCACGACGTATCCTCATTCTATATTCAGTAGTAGCCCCAGAGGCATAATTGGATGTTATCCAGGCCAGCTTGACCACTAGGTCAGGTGGTCAGTTACAGACAGACTGTAGGTAGTGCGGCCAAAACACAGGTCTAGCAGGATAAGTGGTCACAAAACAGTTATGAGCGTTATTTGCGGCTGAGGCCAACTGGAAATGGGCTCGAAATCGTTCATTCAGCTTCACTAGCTGGCTTCCTATGCCTTAATTTGACAGTTGTGAACCTAGTATTCAGCCTGAACATCTTAGATCCATTCCATACTATAACTAAATAGTGTTTGGAGTTTACTATGGATAAATTTCCAGAGGTGTTTTTCTGTTCATTCCTTAATTACTAAGCGTTAACGCTGATCGATTTTGGATGAATAAGATAGCATTAGTAAGTGTTTTCAGGAACAAAAGAACTTATGCCATCCGGATTTTTGTTCGTAAATGTTAATACAATCATATTCCATCATTAGAAAGGCTCTTAGATTGTGTCAAATACCACGAGGACTGTCATTTACTGAAAGAAAACAGTAGAATACTGTGGAAGCTTAAGCAAGTTGATCAACACTTACAACGTTTCGCGTAGTCCCAAGGTTAAATTAGCAAGTAAACAATTTTAGTAGGTTTTTTATCAGTGTTTGGTGGTTGGGAGTGTTTTGACTTTTACGGGATGTATGAAGGATACTAACGCAGGTTCCTATGCGCATGGCTCCTCTAATATTTGTTCTTCGTAGACCAAACGCGGGCGTCGGTGGTATAGCGGTTAGGATGCTCGCCGACCATGCACATGGTCCGGGGGTCGATCCCCGGCCGACACACTCCTTTACCTCGCTGAGCCAGAAATCGTGCTGGTGAGGAGGAAAGGTTGGGCATGAGACTAGCAACCCATCCTGTAAAATAAACACTGCTACAGAAGCTTCAAGCAACCAGCTTGAAGCCTTATGTTGCACTGGGAACGTGAAGGGAAAAAAAGACCAAACGCAAATCAAAACACCAAATAGGTGGCTCAAAATACGTGATATATTTCGGGATCAAAATGGTAGTGCGAGGATATGAAATGAATTACAAATGAGATTAAGTAAATGCAAAGCAGCAACATGCTATTTACCTATACTGAAAAGCTATAGCGACTCTAAGTTAGACTGATTCTGCTAAACAGTGCAGTTTTCTTTTCTGATCTTCCGGAAATGCAGTGAAATACTGAAATATCTGTTTATTTAGGCGAATTTTATCGGATACTGGGGACGATGATGAGGGATGCACTCAAAGCCGCGTGGTCATTATATGCTGCCTGTTGTAATACTGATGAATTAATAGATCTTCACTAATTTGCGACGTATACGTGCACATTCTATACACCTAGTCCTAAAAAAGCATGTTAACTTTTGAATGCAATAGAATTGGACAATCGAAGTAACGTTCGCGTAACATTAAGATACACGTTAGGATGGAAGGCTTCACTAAATTGTTCATAGAATGGCAACGAGAAATGTTTTCCTTAGCGATCTTGTCAACCGGCTTTCAGTGAATTCAAAACCAGAGCCAAATCTAAACTAGTGGATTAGGTGTATCCCTTTCTTTCATTATATTTATATGGTTGTGGTGTAGATCTGATTCCGTAAGGGAGGTTTCTAGTTCTAATACGCAAACGGCATAATCTTTCGGTGCGATAGCATGCATGCTGGCCAAATAGCACTTAATTACGTAGCTGTCAGTGTCTGTAAGTATGATATTTGTTTTGCACTGTCTAAGTGCAAAGCAGTGTTACAAGACTGGCAGGAGCATGTATCCTTGCTCACCCGTTCGGGTGAACCGCTTGAAGTCACGGACAAGTTAATGCATCTAAGTAGATGTAGCAGTGGTAGGATGGACGAAATCTCTGATCACATAGTGAAAGCTAGAGTACCATACGTCGTTTTTGCCGCCCCTGGGCATCTTCACGACGTTAGTCTGACTGCCAGTGGTTTGGGTTAACAGCGCTTAGACGCGCGCGTTCTCGCCCTACGCCTGTGCTACTTAGACCCTCCGAGTTGACGACGTAGGAAGACTCCGCGCACTCAACCATTGCTACCTGCACGGAACTGCCTACACACGGAACTGCACAACCGTGCATATCACTTCACTTTCCTCCACCAAAATACAACACTTTGCTTGTTGATATTGCTCCAGTCACCTCAGTTACCCAACTTGGAACGTTTCACCTGACAAATCCTCAGTGGACTTAGCCTTCGTATCACTCCCCCGCTTCATTTCGAAATCTGTTTATTCGTTCATTTTCTAAATTCTATTTGTGGTTCACTACTATCCACAAGAATGTAATGGCACTTCAGTACTTCCACTCGCTGTCAAATTTCAAAATGCCACAGAACTGCTGACTATTAGTCATCACACTATATACTTTCAACTCGATTGTACGGCTGTTAATATCAAATCACTACAAGAATTATTTGTCTCGATGAAATCTTTCTTTCATTTCCCATTGAGGACTATTAGTCTATTATTCCTTTTCAGGATGTTCACGGGCCTAAATTAAGCGCGAAACACATTAAAGTGAGCTGAGATGTAATTTTGATTTCTTCCTGGAACATAAATAATCTTAATAGTACATTGCCCACGTATATTGTGTGGGTTCCGGCGCGGGTTAATTAGACAGTGCGCTTCAATGTAGTGTGTTGGTTGGCGTTCCTTAAGGTGAGTACTTTTGACTGGATCCCTCCAGTGATCAGTGTCTTTTAAATTCAGCGTGTGTTGTATGTGCTTGGTGTTTTTCACCTCAGGAATTTCTGATATGCCTTAGGTCTTGAAATGACTTGTAGTTCAATGATGATTCCTTAAACTACCGAAATCGATTGGTATTTCACACTTTATTAAAAGTTACCGAAGTATGTATTTCAGGTTTATAGAAAAGATGTGAGATATTGTTCACATTTTACTGAAGTCTTAGCACATTTACACACGATCGTGTGTAAATTCGAATAGTGGAATTAATAGATGAATTGCATTGTATAGTTCAAATCACAATATATAAGGTTGTATGTGACCAATGGTTATTACCAGTGATATATTTTATATATATTTTATTTCATGGGATGAGTGATTTTATTTTTTGGGCGAAATCTAACAGTTTATAATAATAATTATTATCTCGAGTGGAACATTGAACTTGAAAAGCACATTTTCATTTTACCCTCATTAAATGACTTTACGACTGCCTATTAACTCATCTCCCCACACGATCTTCATGTCACATTCGGATGCCAAACTCGTTGTTTCACATTCGCGTTTCAATCAAGAGCATAACACGGCAAGTCACTCAGTGTGTGACACTCAGACCACTGTAAACCAGGAAGTACTGGACGATGTGAGTTATTTTGAAAAAACTATCCAATATTCCTTGATTTTCATTGGTTCTCTATCTTATCTTAGTTCAGGATTTAACTTAACAAAATGTGATTTAGAAATAAATAAATTGGTGTTTAAAAATAATCCATTAAGAGTAAAAACAGTTATTGAGGTCTCATGCCTCCTGTGTCACCATGCAAGTAACCGGAAGTCTGAAAACGTCAATTTGGACAAGATAGAGATCGTCTTCCTCTGGACCACTGGGCCATGGGTTTGAAGTGAGTCCCACCTATCAAATTTCAGACAGTCAGGTGGTATTGCTAGCCAACACCCAATAGGTGTGACCCAGTAGTAACTACATAGAGTTGCGTATGGTCTCTGAGTAACGTTCTCATTTTCTATATTTCCATAAGGCACGACCTCTGAGAGTAAAAGATGGCTTTTTTATACCTTCTATTGTTCCCATCGATTGTAGACCAATGTTAATTAACACTGAGATAAGTAAGAGGAAGTTTATTGATGGGGTGTTGGACCTACATTGGCTAAGGTAGCTGGGGAATGTGTTATGCATTTCTCTGTCAGAAATGTTGGCCGATGTAGAATAAGGTTGACAAGGTACTTGGATTTTAGTCTACACTTAACAGAAGCAATTACAATTCTCAGTTGAAGCAACCAATCAATATTCATGAGTGGTGATGGTGATTCCACAATCTGTGTTCCCCTCAAACTAATGTCCATTCGTTGAAGTAGTGAAACAGTTTTAAATATCACTTTATCTCAATGTAAAGTTTGTATTCATTAGTTTTCTAGCGAAAAGTATAAGCTATGAGAATCGAAATGATAAGAGTTAGTAAGTATCACTTAGTAACTTGACTATGAAGTTTCTACGAGTGGTGTGTTCTGTTAGCCTGATTACTGTGGAGGCTATTTACCGCATCTTCTCGGAAGCATTCTAACTGGTTTCATGATAGTCAGTAATATTGTGTCATAGACAATACTGATTTAGTATTAGGTTAAAGTGACTTGGTGGCAACAAATCTTCATCTTATTGTAGGCAAGTAAGAGACTGCAGTTGATCTGTTAGTGCTGCACTGAACTGCACTGCACTGGATTCACTTCACTCTCCTGAGACAGTCATAACATACAATCTCGTAGATGTGAGCAAATTTCATTCGTACTATCTGCAAGTAGGTTGTAAGTTGAGTGATTTGGTCACCTAAAGCTTCAAACCTAATCGCACGACACCACTTGATTAAGAAGCTAGAGATATATGTGATCGGAATTTTCATATTGTCTTCAGCTGCCGTTGTGAGGCATTCGAAATGTAAAACTCATTAACAAATCTATAGATGTATCCAAGCTTATCCAAAATTCATCAGATATTGAATCTTCTGGATTCTAAACACGTTCACTAATCTTCAAATTAATCTGCTACTCATATTTTCTGTTGTAGTATCGTCCTATTTTTCCTTTTTTGCGTTGTGTGTAAGGTTCTGTATCAGTCAAATCCAGTTTCTTCACAAGTAAACCGTCTCTACACCACTTCTTGTACTTCAGTCTTTTATCACAACGATCTCGATGTCTTTGTCTTCATTGACTGATAAACTTACGCTGTATTCAGCTACTTTCAGCTCAACTATCTTTAAGCGCGATTTAAATTCACTATATATTTTGTTCCTCAGAACCTGATACAGCATCTGACATGTACTTAAGCATCCAACATGATGAATTATTCAAACGACTGTGTTCATATACAGGTTTCCTTAATCGTTTTATTCGAACGGTCATCAGTGTCTCTGAGTATGGTATACACTTTGTTTCGTCTAAATGAGAAGCATTGTTGCTAGATTGGCAATTGATGGTACATGCATCCACCCTTGAGGTGAACCGTTAGAAGCCGTCGTTGACAGTTTGTATACTTGTGTGGATGCTGGTGATGAGGTGGATGATATCTCTAACCCTATAGTGAAAGACAGGACGATATAGACTAACCTAGATCACTTATGGTACCGTCTCCTGACGGTCAAATTTTAGGTTTACGATTTTTCAGGGGGCTCAATCTTGCTGTACTCCTGTGAAAATTGGCCTCTCCCAGCTGAAAATGTTCGATAAGTTTGCGTGTTCTGTCATCACTACCTCCGTCGAATTGCTTCCATTCAGTAGCCTCCTCATACAATTCTGAGGTCCGGTGGCGTGTTTCGGAATGTGACCGAGGTCGCCATCTTGGGACACAGACTTTCTCGGCTTGGGCCATCTTGGTGGTATTCATACTGTTCATTTTTTCCTAGTCTTTGGAATGGACGGAAAAAGGCAGAGGTGCAACTAGCCCATGGCATGGATCTATAGAATGAAAGATAATTGTGATTAGTTGACGCCTTTTGGGGGTTCACAACTCCCAGGGTCAGGCATGGGAGATAATCCGAATCAGTGGATTAAGAAGCCATCGGATATATCTGAGAGTCGTAATCAGTGGCGAACATGATGCAATTTCCTCCTTTTCTCTCTTTGTTAAAAGTAAGATTAATTGATAAACGTCTCTTAGTTGCTCTTGATAAGTGTGTTTGTCTGTTTTCATGATTTTATTCCTCACTCTATTTTTCTCCATGTATCGTCCTATTGTTTTTGTGTTTTGGTGCCCATATTGTGTACCAAGTTCGTGTTAAAATAATAATATACTGAGACTGAGTTTTCAACATAGAACTTTACACGAAAGTGCAACAGTTCAAGTTACCACACACTATTTAGCACACTAAGGTAAATAGAAAATTCAAAGGAACTACAATGGGTGGAAACGTACGACATAAAGTATAATTACACGAAGAAGCATGAGAACTTAAAGGGTGTGAGAGATTACTAAGAGTGAATGCATCCGAGTAACTGGTTTCAACATAGAACTTTGCACAGAGTACAGAAGTTCGAATTGCCATACTCCTTATAGCACACAAAAGAAAATAAAAGAGATTCAAAACAACAGTAATAAGCAGAAATGTGAGGGAGAAAAAAACAGTAACATAGAAAAACATGAGGGTTTGATGGATATGGCAGGTCACAAAGATCGAATGCATATGCGCCATGGAGAACGATTTTAAGCCATATCACCAATTGTCTGCAGTCATTAGTTCTTAGAATCTCAGGGACCCCAACCAGTCAGGTTACACTTCCCCACGTGTCTCAAACTAACTGTTAAAGACTTCATAGATTGATTTCATGTTTCGATTTGACCAACATTAACTCTTTCCAATCCGGTCCTATGTCAGCTGGCGTTGCTGGACGAGGAAGGCGATGATTTAGTATCCGTAATCTGTATCTTGGCCATCTCAATCCATATAGCCTCACAAACTCATAGATTGACTTTCCCTCCCTACCTCACTATTACTCACTGCATTATATCATTTAACACGGGATATAGAATGCAAACACCTTTGGTAAGAGACAATTAGCCCTTTCATGTCTTCCAATTCCAAAAAAGTAGTTTACTAGTTCAATCATTTCACTTTTATTTTCCGTCATGTCTTGGAACACTTGTTATATATGCTGACGTAAAGAAATCGTCTGAGTTGATTGATAAGGCAGTCGCCTCCTCAAAACACTGCTCATACACCACCCTGGTTAAGTTTATTAAATTCGACACCCATAGTCGTGTTTGCGTCTATAATGGGTTATCGCCTTAGTTGTCTACCTTAGTTGATTTTTATGAAGGATTTTCAGTTGCTCAGTTATTTAACTTAATCAGGGACGTACTTATTGGGGTTCTCTGTTTCCTCATTTTAATTCGTAGGCGTTGGTATCATCTCAAAAATTCCTTAGTTGATTTATTGGACATAGACAGCATATTCCCGTTGGACGAAAGCAGTTACGAAATGCTGAGTTTTCCGAACACTTCGAATGACAATAAAAAAACTTCTGAGGTGCTCTTCTTGTTGGTTAGTTACCCAGCGTATGTTATTTTCACATTTTTGTTTTTCCTCATATTACCTCTTACTTGGTAAGTAAATGTGAGGTGTTTTAATTTGGGCTGTTACTCAATGGTGTCATGTATTTATCCATTTACTGTTATTTTTAGACGAGGAGATGCATTGCACTACATTGTGATCAGTTATCTCTTAAGACTGTGATGCTCAGTTGTTTAAAAATAAAAATAAAATAATGCTGTACTTTTATTGTTTTGAACTAGATGGTATGAAAATTTTGAAAAAAGCATGGAATACTGAACTAATGTTTCGTTTTAGCTTGGACTTCTTTGTCAGTGCGTACGCGCGAATCCGTTAAGGATCGATCTCAGTTTTTACTAAACGCTTAATCACTCGCAGTCAAGTATTCTTCGACGTACTGCAATGTGACTAAACTGGTGACGCAGATGTTTTACTTGTTTGCTACTAAATACGCCTTTGTAGAGTTTATCTGCCTATTTTCCCTAACTGGATTTTAGAATTCTTAGTTGGTTTATGTTGCAACATCAATAAGCTACTTCTCTGAATATATGTCGGTTTATTTTAGTTACAATTCGTACCAATTATTTCTCCCGAAGATAAACGTCAATACATCAATATTAATTTGCGAATTTTCATGTTTTAGTGATGTCAACGTACGTAGACCTCTCAACTGTATTCAACTTTGATAATAGAGGTCAGTATGTAGAAATTTCCTCCGATCGAATGAAAGCCCGACGACAGGTTGGCTTTTGTGATGGTGTTGTTATCTCTCAAAACTTTATTCGACCTGGTGAACTGGTAGCTGTTGAAATCACAGAAACACAGCGAGGATGGAGTGGTGATCTCAGAGTGGGATTCACTTTATTGCCAGACCAATTGCTTTTACCTCTTCCAAGGTTAGCTTTTTATCCTCTGTTCAGTGATTAGTAGTGTGGTGTGTGTTAATCAATTCAATTTATACTTTTATGTAGTTATTTTCATTAGACATATATTGTAGTGATTCGGTTTTTAGCCACTTCAACGCTATTCATCCAACGGTTCCTCAAACCTACCATGGTTAACAAAATAACTCTTCACACTTTCTGAAAATTTCACTAGTGATAAGAAAAGAAAACTTTATTAAAAGACTGCTCCGAAAATTGAAGACCAAATCCCAATAAATACGTTTTCTTATTTTTGTACCAATAAGGTGCAGGAGTGATTTAGTTAGATCCTTCACATTTAGACTGAGGCCACTCTGCTCCTATGAATGTGTAGTAAAAACATTCCAAGTTATGCGGAATATTTTGGGCGAAAAAGGATATTCAGACAACTTAACAGAAGATAGACTGTAACAATTGTAAATGCGAATTGGTGACGACGGAGAAAATATTCTTATTGTTGCCTGCTGAACCTGGTGACATTCTACTCAGGAAATTTGTACCTAACGTTCAATAACCATCCAATGTTCACTCCAATACTCAAAGATAATGTATTTATTTTTAGTTGATGTTCGCCCTTACACCGGTTTTGTATTTCTTGCAGATCAAGTTACGTATAACCCACGATTGAGTGAATTCGTCTCCGGATTCCAGCATATTTCCTCTCCTGACTGTCGAAGAATGAAATTAAACGTCTAATAGACTCAAGGCATTATGTAGATACTAATATGGCCTTTAGTGTGACATATCATATATCTGGAACATTACCACACACATTCCATATATGTTCCCTTCACATAGTTAAAGTTGTGGTAATGAGATCGACTAAGTTACGACTCTACTTTGGGAAGGAGCACTGATTGATCAATCTGTCACTATAAAACCTTTCACTAAAGTGCTACAGTTCAAGTTTCTACATCTCGGACAAACATATGTGGAACTAGAGAAAGAAAAGTAGTGGAACTACAATGGATAAAGATGTCTTGCTCTTTAGACCCATATAAGTTTTTCCAAGTTTCCCTTTTTTCCTTTTTTTGTTTGTTTTATCTTCTAAACAATCTTGGTCGCAGTAATTTGTATTCCTCATTGTAATAACTTTCCAACATTGATTGCTTTTCTGCATATGCAGACTGACACCAACCGTGTCTTCTGGTTTATTATTTGTGTTTTTATTTTGAATATGGTTGCATCCCAACCACTTTAAATATTGATTATTTCATAATGACCTATCCTTTACATAGATTTGGTCTCGAACTGACATCAGAGAAAGGTCACTGAGGACTAGGGAGTACTGGATAGCTATTTCATCCCAGCTGGGGATTATTCAGCAGTAACTATCCTAGACGCTTTTAATTTCAGTTTGCGACGAAGTCTGCAATGAAGGGAATCAAATTCCTATGAACTTTTGTAATAATCACTCATCAAGAATATTCTGCAACCTTGAACTAAATTACTCAGTTTTCTCAGTATTGTACTAATTTATAACCAATAATTACCCATTTCACACTGTTTTTGTAGTTGTATTCAACTCCCCACATCTTGTTACTTTACATTCTTAAAGTCATCTGATTTGAAATCTAATCATTTCCTAGGTAGGAAACATATTCAGCCCACACTTGGCTATTATCACAATAACGAATTTATATTTTATAATTGTAAGAACCTGAAGAAAATTTAGCGAAAAGAATAGCTTTTGCTTAGACCAACTTTCATTGCATGAGAATATTTCGAGCTCTGAAATATTGTGATCTCCTCTATCTTCTCGTTTGTCTATGTTCTGTTTCGCGATTATCATCATCATCCTTCATATCAGTCATCGGATATTATGAATCTTATCCTGAATTCCTATACAGTGTATACCACCAGTGACTAGTATAATGAGTTGGTGAACACTCATGTAAATCAGTCAGTAGTGTATACTTCGCAGGTGTCTTGTATGCCAGTACTGACCCCTTGTTTTAGTATCAACCAGATCATCTGTTTGTAAATGGGATCGTGGTGAGATTGCATTTTAGACTGTATAATATACAAACATTTAATTGAAGTTTGTATGAAATTGTTCAGCGATAGCTTTTCTGTCAATTACGTTACAAATCCAGGTTTACTTCTGTAAAAAATGTATGCGCCCTTTAGAAAATGTGTTATTAAGCGTTTACTTTCTTTCAAAGTGCTATGATAAACTAGTAGTCACAAATGCTACCTTCTTCGCTTATCTGTTGAATGTCGTTAGTGTGTGACTAGGTTGCCTGCTATCGTAGATTATCCTCTATTTCTAGGGCAATCAATTATTGTTTAATTTTGTTTTTAATGTTCTGACTTGATGATTTCCCCATAGCAATGTAACTATAAAATACCTACTGACTGAAAATGATCTTCCGCAGTATAAACCTATACAAACACTTTATTCCTGCTTTTATTTACAGATTCGCCCTACCTGCACTGGTTTCTCCAGGCAGAAGTTGGATTGTACCAGTTGGGACTGCCGTAGCTCTTCTCTTATCTCATCATCACCAGACCTATTGGAGACGTCAACAGCTGAAATGTAGTCGTCATCTAAACAGAGCTAGTACCAGTCCACTTACATTGTTTGATTCACTTAATAAATTCCGTGACAGACAGATAGATGTATCTGGTATGAATGCAACAAGTGGTTTAATTAATAGTCCTAATTTATTGGGAACTAGTTCTCATGTGAATAAACAAGCAATTCATTTAGAAGTTAGTCCTTCCTACGTTTGTATTTGTTGCCTCCATACGAAACGTGGTAGAGTTCCACTGAGTCAGTTGGTGCCGCATGAGCTAGAACTAGCTCGACCTCCCGATGTTGAGAAAGGTAGCGTTATAGCTATCTATTATGAACTGGAACCTGTGTCATCGAATCATACATCTACAAATCCTTCTAATCCTTTGGGTGATGAAAATACTAACATACTTAATGATATTGGTAATATTCCTTCTGTAGTACCGGATGAAAATGTACAAAACCTCTTCAGATATACTTTAGACCCTACTGGAAGTAAAGAAGATCCAAATGCAGAGAAATTACTTTTTCACTTTCGGTTTCATATTGTTATTAATGGTATAGATATGGTCGCTATAGCAGTAAGTCCTAATCCTTTATTAAAGAAGATTTTGTAGTTCAAATGCATTCGTCTTACTGAAGTTATTTTAAAAACATTTTGCCCATGATATCAATAATCATCCACTTAATGTATATATATATATATATATGTATAGGGGTGACTTGGAGGAGGTCATGTGAAGAGGAGATGAAAACGTGCGGGCAGACTTGGAGCCAGGTGAAGACTCTAGCAGAGAACCGAACTCAATGGAGACGCAGAGCTGAAGCCTTACGTTCTTCTAGGAATTAAAGGAAACAATAATAATACTAATAATTGTGAGTGGAATATAGGGCTTAAGTGGAGCACCTGCGTTGCACTCAATTCTATGCTATCACTTCCTGCTTTCTCTACAACTACCCACAGTCTATCGTCTCTTCACATAGTCTTCCTCATCTCATCATCGAATTCCCAACACGTTTCTGTCCTTCCCGGTTCCAATCACGGGCATGGCGTGTGATATCGCTTGAATGTCTCCTCTGTGTATTCCCAATCCGTCTTCATTTTCTTCTGCATTATTGTCGGGTTATAGTTTATTTACTAGTTCGCTGCCTGGCAGAGTGCCTTGTTGTTTATCCTTCCTGGCCAGTTATCTGATTTTCAGTATCGAGTCAGCGAAAGCAGCCATTGACAAACGTCTGCAGTAGTTAGTTGGAGACAGTGATACATCATGTCTGTGAATCATATTTAATCGGTAGCCTGATATCAGTGTTAAAAATTCTAGTTTTGTAACCTGTGCTAAGTGCTATAGATCTGCGCATCACACTAATTTCAGAAAAATGAGGGCATGTCTTGCTTTCCCCATCTAACCCTAACTGGCTTTGACATTGTCATCCGTGCCGCATAATCTTAAGAGATGACTTCCTGTAGATTTCTACCACTTATGGTGACAGCTGCTTGATGTTGCTTGGATGTCATCACCACATTCGACTTCATGCGGTAGGAGACATACAAGAATAGTTTGCTAAGTTCTAATATTCTACGATCCTTTTTAGTGTTCAACCTATATTATCAAACTGGCAGTTGAATCGCTATACGCTGCGTCAGAGCTCCTTTACTTACACTTCATACGGGCATGACAAATTATACTTTTCTCATCGACTATCTTATCGATTCAGATGAACTCAGCTTATCACGCTGTGTTATCATGTTTTTTCTTAGTTTTGGTTTTGTGGTTATCTTTTTGTCAATGTTACAAAAAAATTAATAAATTGGATAGATTGAGAGTAATTCTGTCTTCTTAAGTGGCCTTCAGTCTACGTGATAGTTTTCTAATAACCTAACTGTAGGTACGAAACAGAGATTTCTTTTTGAAATTTTGGTTCACTTCAGTCGACCTATGCAGCGCTGTAATACCTACCTTAAGTAGGGAATGGGAACGTATTAGTAGCATATAGTAATACTTTTGTATACATAGTAGCTTTCTCCATCGTCTGATTCTTAGTTAAAAACATTCGTCCTAACTTTATTTCTATAAACACCTTAATTTCATTTCTCCTCTCGAGTAGTTCAACGGATTCTTTATTTCGTTCTCGAACTTGAAGCCTTACAATTATGAATATGATATTATTATGTGTATTTTTTAAGAGGAAATTACTTCACAGCTCATTAGGGCTGTGATTCACTAGTTTGTCATCGAATAATTAGTGAACTATTTACTCCTAACATCGCAATTTATTCAAAATGCTTTCCAACATTTATAATATATCTTTTCTCCTCGCACGTTCCCATGTGTTTTGATTGAAATGTCGCATCTATATTTTTCGAAAATTATGAACGACAGAGTGAATTATGAAAGGGTTCAGACCTTCAAGCACACTAATATCGTCACCTGGTTAAATACAGTTTCTGGGTGAGCGGGGATAGACGTTGAAAGATGGTAACACATATTCAGACAACTTATTGAGTACTTCTAGTGGTTGGCCTGTGAATAAGGGTGCGAGTCTGGTCTCCTACGAATCTTGTAGTAGTAATTTACACATACCATACCTATGGATACTGATTATCAACCAACAAGGTGATATTTGGGTAGTCTATGCATTATCACACAGTGAACTAATGTCACCCCCCCTATTCAAGGTTGCAAGGCCTTTCTTCAGTCAGCAGATCTACACTACTGTCACACTGATCCTTCATAGTTGTACTTAGAATGTCATTGAAGACGACGTTGAAGAGAATTGGCGAAATTGGACAAGCGTGTCTAACGCCATTGCTGTCTGGGAACAGTGGTGATAGGTGGTCGTATGATTTTAGTTTACCTGAGGTAATTTCGCATGGGGCATTGAGAATGTTGATAAACTCCTGAGATACAGAGTACAGCGTTTTCAGAGTACAGGGTTGTCCAGTGAATTGAAGTCAGGCCCATTACCAAGAAATACAAAGACTTTTGTTGTAACAGTTGATGAAAAGGATGAACACGTGTTCGCAACCTGATGGGAACCCATTATGCTGTTGACGAACTTATTTGTCAAGGATTTTTTAAAGTCCACAGAAGATAACTGAAGACAGTATTTGTGATACACCTATTAATTAGCTAATACTGTGATAACCGTTACATATATTATACGATTTTCAAATGTAGTCGCAACGTTGACCATATTTCATACTGATAGGCACTTTCAACGTCCGATATCTTCCGAAGCAATCTAGTTATTTCCCTGGCTGCCGTTCTGTCACAAAATTTATGAGCTGAGGGTAGTTTTTTCCAAGGTGAATGCCTAGTGGCATATGAGTAAATAGAGTGCCCCTCAGACCTTTGTACTGAGTATTAATCGGCTCCGGAGCACCGTAACTTAAAACACTGTACTCCATCTCTACTGGTCATTCATATTGTTTTTAATTACTAATCCTAGCGTTCCAATTATGCCGGTTTGGATCGGCACCCTGTCTTTGAAACGCAGTGAATTAATAATCAATAACCTCAGCTATATGTAAATGTATTTAATTACCTAAGGTAGATTGTGAGATAATTATAATTGCGAACTTAGCCTTTCCAAGACTATTCAGTTTTTTGTTTCTCTTGCTAGGTTCTAAAATATCAGTTTAGTTTTGATGGATGAAATCGATGTAAAGTTGTAAGTGTAAATCTCTGGAAATATATTTTTGAATACTTTGTTCCTTATGGAAGATTTTTTAAAACTTTTTTATAAACAGACTTGTATTAAGAAATTTACTTATCCGTATGCTCCTATAGGAAACAGTATCCATTTCATCAGATAATTTTGCCGTTGATCAGAGCGATCCAGAAATGTCATATGCTCATCTCAATGATGATTCGAACAGCGTGGATTCCAATGCTACTAATGAGGTCCCCAGATCTCCAGCATCTTCTGATCGTTATTCTTTTGATCCAGTCATTTTATCTACTCCACGTATGAGGGCTGTTTTTGATGTTTACGGTCAGACCAAAGCAATCCAACTACGTTCATTACAACAGGCAAGTTTTCCCGTTTAAGGAATTCACTACTTTACTGTTTTTATCTGTAGATTAAAGGTAGAAATACGTCATACTACTGATTATTTGATTTTTGGTAGTTACTAGATGAATATATATATATATATATATATATGTATTATAAAGCGATGTTTGAAGTTAAAGCAAGAAAGATTGTTGGAGAATTGGAAATAGTAGCCTTAAAATACATCCCAGTTCTGTTTCATCCCCATAAACATCGAATCATCTCCCGGCTCCCTAACATCTAATATGTAATGTAGGCACGTCTATAATGTCAGGTGATTTGATTCAGATGAAGTAAAAATATCAAGTGAAACTTGTTACCCACCCTGAAGTACATATGGTAGTTTATTTGATTGCAAAACACGTCGAGATCTTTTGGAAGAGGCAAGTTGCATGAAACGCTATACTAACCATCAGTTAAACAACAGTAGGATTAATTAATTCCAAAAAAGTGATGTTATATACTGTTTGTTTCTTTACTCGTACAAAACATTATCATTCATGTGTAGTATTTACTTTTTAATAAATACTTTCTTCCGTTTTATATATACATTTATTTTGTAGAATTCAATCGCATCATTAAGTCGTTTATGCTCCTGTGCAATTCTTCACCATGTCTTCTGTTTGTTTCAATCTAGCAGTTTTCTAGCCAATGACACGTCGAATTATAATTCAAACAATTTTCCCAATACAGGTGTAAAATCTGGTAAGCTACGGAATTCACAAAGTGTTATTCCACATATAATGAAAAATAATCGAATCAGACAATTATACACAATATTAGATAAGCTTCCATTGCCAAGGGTTGAAAGACGTCGTTTACAACGTGATGCTTTTGCTGTATTGGCCCGCGGAATATCGGATTAATGCGCATATAGTATAAAATGTTTTCCAGAAAGATTTATTTCACTTATCAATGGAGAAAAATTGTCTGTGATAACACAAAAAAAGGCAATGTAAAACCTATTAATAACCACTTCACCAAATGTCTTTCATTATCAATTTTGTGTTAGGTTTTACCTGTGACTACTATTTTTAAACGAATAAGGAGGCTAGCAGAGAAGCAAGGTGAGAAGAATGAAATGATGAAATTGAATATAATTGCCCATTGAACTATTCGGTCGCTTCTTCTTCTTCTTTTTCTTCTCCTTATTTTCCATCGTATTGTTAGTCATTTGGCTCATCTTATTTACCTATCTGTTTATTTGTAAAGAATATATTTTGGAACGCTTAAATTATTCCTGTCATCAAAGTGTTTTCAGCTATCTTCTTTCTTGTCTTCATAATGCTTTTTATCATATACTGAATAAATACTGATTAGCTAGTAATTAGGAATATCAGAAATTGTAATTCCAATAAAGTTATTTTAATTCAAACACTATAGACTTCTTATTTAGTATTTTGTGTATGGAATTTGTACATTGATTGGATGCTTGTTTATCTTAGGTATGTATGCAGTAGGCGATGGGAATTCATCTGCTTCAGTATAACACTCATATTTCGTCTTTCTTTTTGTTGTTGTTAAAAATGGGCAATCATATTGCTTATGGGACAAACCCTTGGGATCTATTTCCATGTTTGAAGGACTAAAACCAACCTGTGGAACATTGTTGTCCTGCATTACAATTTAATAAGAAGCGTGTTTTGAACTCCTAGAATAAAAATATGTGTTAATTTAGTCTTTATTCAACAGAACACTTATGCAGATGAATGCTAAATTCTTTGTGTAATCATTTACAGCCAAGCAATCTCGATGCGTTTCAGTGAGGTAAAACAAATCAACCAGTCGCCTTATGAGAATTTTAATGAAGGGATAGCAATTAATCGGATTCAACATTTGCAAATGAATCGTTAAGGTTATACTCTCTAGACTCTCTTATCTTTTCATCAGCACACTTGTACAATCGGATTGCTTCAATTTCTTCACGAAATTATATTCTTGATGATATCAAACATTTTTATTTTTAATCTTATGATTAAAACACCACTGTAACAGAGCATTCAATCTTGAAATTTAGCTAACAATTTTAAAATAGGTTTAATGGGAATTAAAAATCCTGGTGTTTAAGATAGTTTATGGTTAGTGTGCATCAAACAAAGGTTTCCGTTTACTCATGTGTATCAGTTTTAGAGCTTGGCATCCGCAGCATTTTAGACTAGGATTAATCGACTTTGTGACTTTTATTTACCAGTGTTTATTTGGTACTATATTAACTAAGTATGATCTGTTAGTTTTGAGTGTAGATTTTAAATAGTTTCTGTCTGTGTAATAAAGAGGTAGGTCACTTCATTGGTCATTCTCATTGACTTTAAGTTTCAGTTATGCAGCTTCTTGATGAAGTCTACTTCAGTGTACAGCGACAGTGATCAAAAGGCAGAATGGATGCTTGGGTCACATCGAAATTTAACTAAACGACTTTCGGGTCACTATTTTCACTGCTCCTTACAATTATGGTACTTATATAAAAGAATGAACTTACTGTCAAACAGAAAAAAGATTTCTCTAGGTTCTGACTCATCAACTTAGCCACTGAATACATATAACCTGTACAGTGAAATAGTCCTTATGAGTGCATAAAATTAGTAAAATATACAATTAAGTAGTAATATTTATAGAAGCGTTTATGATCTGTAATTTATCGGATAGGTATTCTGAATTTCGAGCAGAAATGATTCTTAAAATATTGAAGAATAAATCTTATTTGTCTTTTGTAGAAAATTCACACATCAGCTATAATTCATTTTTATTTACATATTCATAATTTCAGGATGTTCACATTAAAAAAAATTTTTTTTCATTCATTAATTGCAGTGATTTGTTGCTATGCCATCAAATAATAAAAGTGCACTAAGACAAACCAACCGGAATCTACGAGCAGAAATCGATGCACTTAAAGCTCAAGTGGTACAAATGAAAAATGATTTATCCCAATCGCGTACAATTCGTCCTAAAATTGATCAAATGAGTACTGAAGTTGTCGACTCGAATCCATATAGTCGGTTGATGGCACTTCAGCGCATGGGAATAGTTACTGATTATGCTCTGTAGGCAAATTTTTATGAAGGTTTATTATTTTTAATTATCTGTTAGCTAAGTAGTTCATATGTACACTTTCCAATTAATGGTTTATTAATTTATGAGCATTTTTATTACTCTTTGTTAGCTGATTTATCTAAGTTTGACGTCATCATCAATTGGAAGATTTATAGGCGGTAGATAAGTTTTAGAATAGTTTTCATCACATTATCATTGAAAAAAGGAGAACAGTAGACATTTATTTCGCCATTAGTGCACATCCATGATCACTTTAGCAGCCAAGCTTATGCCTGTTAGACTAGCATTTCCTAATTAAGCTATGCAGAGTATGCAAATAATAACGTGTTAATAATATTAAATGACGGTGTTGTTATGTGGTAAGTCTGAGAATAACAAATTAGGCTCTGTTGCGGATTGTTTGACTTCGAGACTTTCATTTTTGTGTAGAAAGACAACGGTAGATTCTCATCTTAGCCATCCAGCTAGGGGTAACGCAACAAAACCAAACACATCCGCCTGAGCTGCAAATCTATCTTCTCAGTTTCATCAGTGGTTAGTTGGTGAGATATTCACTGCTGTAATCTAGAAAACTTGGGCTAGATTCAACACAGTCGTGGATGCGCCTTGCTAAATATTATTATCAGAATATTGATTCTGTGAATTTCACTTCCTCTGTGAGGGTTTTCATGTTTCTGTCTTTATTCTAAATCATTTAGAATTCGAGAGAAAACTGTAGTTATAGTGGGTGTTGGTGGTGTTGGCTCAGTTACTGCAGAAATGCTTGTTCGATGTGGTATCGGACGTTTGATTTTATTTGACTATGACAAAGTTGAGTTGGCTAATATGAATCGATTATTTTTTCAGGTAAATTAAATTTTTTTTCTATTGTCATTATAATAGCTAATGCTTTTTGTGTCTAATAATCTTATGAAATTTATCCCGTTTTCTGTTTTGTGAAATAAGCTAAGCCAACTTTTATTCATCTTTGATTATTTATCTGTATTCTTCTGCTCTTTAAATCGAGTTGATTTATTGTAGTTAAATTCGTCGTAGACATCAGAAAAAAAAAAAAACAGTTCTCATTGCACACAAAAAGTGCTAAATAGAGTATCTATTGATATTATTTTTTGCTTTGAAATCTTCCACACTACATGTGTTTAGAGCCACTCTAAACTATGCCCACATTATTCTACATTTATCATTACTTAACGACTTCCTTGAATTCCCAAAGTTGGCACACTTTAGTGCCAGAGGGGTTGTTTCTACTTTAGTTGTCCTTTAATAGTCTTGACAGATTTCCATCGTCAATTATCTCCACATATCATTTTAAAGGGTGAGAGGTACTACCATTACTATTGGATAATTTACTCCTACGCAGGAGGATCGAAGCTGATACCTAGGCCCATGTCTTAAACTTTATTCTAATAATCCAAAAGCTTTGAAATCAGAAAAGCTAACGGGATACCTACACCGTAAAATACAAATTTGTACCACTGAAATTGTAGAATACTAATAAATCGTATCAGTAGCACACGCCACACCACTGTATCAAAACTATGAGTGTGTTATACGTATTTCACGGTCTCAGAAAGTGATGAATTTCTCTATCTACCTTATTCAATGTATTCTTATGAATAAACTAAAATCGGTTTATATGGTAGGTTCTTCAGTTTAGATAATCATACTTACATTCTTATAAAATAGTAATTTTATTCAGTTTGTGAATTTCATTGAATGAGTTTTTTTTCTAAGCGTTCACACTGTCTCAATAAAATCAAGGCAGAATTAAACACATAAACGTCTTATCCTCCAATATTTCTTAGGTGTGTAGTATTTCGCAAACAGCATATCTTTCGGTCAACATATCGCCGAGATTTAGCCGAATCAAAAATTTATTTCGTTACTTTATAATTTGATATTCAAGTCAGTGCTGAGAGCTGAAACAGTGTTCAGCATACTTTTGTATAACTAGTAGATTCTATTAATGTATGTAAATGACTCTCAACTGCTTAGATGTATTATTACTTTGTGTAGAATCGCTTTAGTGTTCATAATCTTAATTTCAATCGTGGTGTCGAGTGGGCCACATTTTACGCTTTGAATACTTCTTGTTTCCAAAAGAAGTCGTGATTAAATTGCATTTTGAAAATTTTACTTTTTGTAAACACTTAGTGTGATTTTTCCATGATTTGTAGTAGCCGTTTCTTTAGAATATAGAGGAGGTAAACTAATTTCGGCCCGGGGTTCGATCCCCTGCCGACGCACACGTGATATCAATGGTCGGCCTGCAAAATTTGGGCTACAGATATCACATACTGAAAATTCCATATTTGTACCAAAAATACTGTATGGTTTCAAGCCATAATCAAAAAGTGCTTATGAAAGAGGTAATGATACAGAAAAAAGCAACATCTGACTCTAAATTCATATTATCTTATCACTAGTCAACATGCCTGAAACATTAGTCATTGTATGGTGCTAACAAATCTTAATGATATTTCTTGATATATGTATGCACTTATACCTTAGGTTAGTGGATTTAGCTACAAATGAACACTTGACTTATTTAGCTGTGACAAGTTTTTAGTGTTTTCATCATGTGTTAAATCTCAAGTGAGATTTAGCTTAGAATACATTTATCACAGAGATAAAGATCTATCACTTAAGCTTTCCACTTAATGCTGAATAACCTAAATGAGAACACTGTTATTTAGCTTTATTATGCGAACTAGTTGAATGAAGAGTAATTTCTTTCGTAGTTTGAAATACTTGAAAATACTTGGTCGAGCAGACACTTCTCTAGGATATTAATCGGTACGCTCCTCTGAACTGTACTACAGTACATGAGAATATCAGGTAACTAAATTAAAATGTGAATTTATCTGGTCAGTAACTTGCATTTATCAGCGTTGAAATGATTAAATCAGTTTCATATCGAATTCTTTTGCAGCGTTAGCTATTGTCAGGTTTATTTTAAGAGTCAGCATGTTCTATGGATTTATTAAAAATTTATTTATTTATTTATTAAAAATTTTTCATGAAATGAGATTATATATATATATATGCTTATTTTAATCCCTTTAATTTTTTGAAGACAAATATGATGCTTTTCTCTGCTTTGTAGCCTCATCAGTCTGGTCTCAGTAAAGTTGCTGCAGCAGCATCCACCTTGAGTTTTATTAATCCAGATGTACAAATTGAAGCGTACAACTACAACATAACTTTAGTAGAAAATTACGACCACTTTCTTAATCGGCTGAAGTATGGTGGCTTAAAACCGGAAAGTCCTGTAGATTTAGTGTTAAGTTGTGTTGACAATTTCGAAGCTCGTATGACCATTAACAAAGCGTGCAATCTACTTGGTCAGGTTGGTACTTTGTATATTTTTTTATTTTAATTGCGCGACACGTTTATTTATGCGTATTTCTTTGATATTATTGTATTTTGTAAATTTTAGTAGTTTAATTACAAAACTGTTTGCATAATATCAAATGGCGTCGTGAATGCAAGCTTCTTTACAATTTTTTTGATAATTATTGTTAGAAAGAAAAGTACTTCAAATGGTTAGGATGCATTATATTTAGTATGGAGTGGAGTGGTGCGTTGATGCCTAGCATTATCCTTGTAATACTGTTACAGAAAAGTTAACTCTTAAGAAATTCGAAAAATAAGATCCGGATTTTCAACTCTAGTGTGAAGTCAGTGCTACTTTATGGATCGAAGGCTTGGCACGTCATGAAGAGCACCTCAAACAAACTACACACCTTCATCGACAGCTGTCTTCGCTCAATACTCAAGATCAGATGGCCAGAAAAGATCAGCAATAGTGAGGGGAGAGAACCAACCGAGCAGGAACCAATTGTGCAACAAATATGCAGGAAGAAATGGAGGTGGATTGGCCATACTCTGAGAGAACAAACCATCAAGTGACATCACACGCCAGGCCATCGCCCGAGTGGAACCCGAATGGGAAGCGGTGAGTTGGTCGTCAGTGCGAGGGTGACATGGAGGAGGTTATGTAAAGAGGAGATGAAAGCATGTGGGCAGACGTGGAACCAGGTGAAAACGTTGGTGGAGAACCGAACGCAATGGAGACGTGCGGCTGAAGCCTTATGTTCCTCTAAGAAGTAAAGGAAACGATAATAATAATAATAGCTCTTGAGTGAAATAGTTCATGAAGTGAAATATCTCATTATCTTAAATAATAATGTAAGTAATAAATGCCATAACTACAAACAATATAGCATTAGAAAAGTAGAACTTGGTTATAGTAGCCGTCTTAATAGTGACTCGAAGATCTTCAGACACTCAATAATTCGTCGATGTATTCAGCAGTATTTTCTAATTTCTTGTAGTTTTAAAAAAAATTTGTGTCCATTTTGCAGTAAACTGATGATGCTACCTGGCTGTCCTCTAATGTTTGCAATCTTCTGATTCGCAAGTTCCTTCTAAACTTGAGGAAAAGCCTGACTGTGGGTAGCAACGTGTTCGAATACGTGAGATAAGTATTCTTCAGTTAAGTTCTTTGGTCTCAAAATGTATTTCTGAACATCTTTCAACTAGATATCGTGGATTACTTGAAGGAGACAAATCAGATATATCCTAAATAGTGTTCAGAATAAAGATATTATTATTATAGTTTAATTTAATGACAATTTATTTTCGTAGGTTTGGTATGAATCTGGTGTCAGTGAAGATGCTGTCAGCTGTCATATACAACTAATGTACCCTGGTCGGACTCCATGCTTTGAATGCTTACCACCTCTAATTGTAGCTAGTGGATTAGATGAGAAGACTTTAAAACGTGAAGGTGTGTGTGCAGCATCATTGCCTACCACTATGGCTCTGGTCTCCTCATTGTTAGTTCAGAACACTTTAAAGTATCTACTGAAATTTGGCGAAGTATGTTTTTTCCTCATTTTCACCTAATTTATTATCTGTGTTTTATCCATTTCTGAAATCTTGTTAGTTTATGTGTATGTTTCCCTACATAAAGTAGTTATTGTATTATAAGCTTAGATGAATTCTTTGCATCACTGTCTTCGTTTATGAACTAATTTTTTTATTTGGTGATGGTGGTGGTGTATCCCTTGTTTGACTAAATATTTAATTTTGGATTGATGATTCCTTGAATTAAAATCTCACCGTAGACTGGGAAATTAGACACTATCATAAGCATACATAGCCTGGTATACTGATTATCAGTGTCGACTAAGTGAGTGGATAGCAAACTAAAATTTCATGACGGAGCTTCGTAGATCTTTTGTTAATATCGAGAAAGATATTATGTGAATAAGCAGTAAGCCGTGCGTCAGTAGTACAGAGGTAGAATGCTTACCAACCACACATGTTGTCCGGGGTTCGGTCCCCGGCCGATGCACTCCTTTACCTCACTGAGCCGGTAATAAGACTGGTAAATACGGAAAGTTGAACATCCTGTAAAAATAAATACCACTGCTACCAGAACTTCAAGTCTCTATCTTGAAGCCCTATGTTCCACTGTGAACGTAAAGGAATAAAAAAAAGCAGTAGTCCTAGTATTGCTTATGATTTCTTGTAGGCAAATGCGATTTGATTCTTGTAGTGTTTGTTTTTTTCGTGACGTTTCTTCAATGATTGTATCAGTTACCATGGCGTTGTATGAACACTATTAGCTGTACCTGTTTGTATTGGTAGTATTTTACGCACGTGTTGATAGGTATGTGCTAATGGAGCAAATTAGATTATATTTATCTTTACTTTTTATAACTATTGTTAAAGTAGAAAAAAAGCTTTTCTACGCCTATACGCCCTATTTAGATACATTTATTTGTATACTGTGATTAAGTCACATGTTCCAGCTTTAAATAAATAATAAGGGCATATGAAATATTCTAAGTAATCCTTGTTAGGATGAGCATATTTTTGTTGGCTCTGGTTTGTGATGATTTTATCATTTGGATCTAAAAGGGCCTTAATTATTTTAGCCACCCGAAGTAATGGTGGCTTCGTGTTGGATAAAACCACTTAATCCTTGTTTATTTACCGTCGATTTAAACCCACTTTGATTTTAGACGAAATTATGTAATAGGATTTAGAAAAGAAATTTCAGAAAAGCTACATTTCTACTTTGGTTACCCAACAGTAACTTACGTGTATTGTTAGATCTTAATCTGTTGATTGAGTTCAAGTTTGTTATTATAACCGTTATGGAAAATGACAATGGAAAATAGTTTATCAAATGACAGGAATACCCTGAACTTAGACTGTAGAAATTTAATGGCAACCTTTTTCAACTTGATCATTGAATAGCACAGATTTGACTACTCAGTGAAGTGCAATTTTACTTGACCTGTTCGAAAATTACTGTCAAACAAAAATAACTTTCTGTAGATTAATCAGTGTATGTCTTTCTTCATCCCTTTTGAAATATGTGAGAAAGAAATTCGACTGATATATTGGCATTATTTTAAGATCTTGTGGTACTGATAGAAGTTTAGTTGTATATAGGTTGTGCTATACATAATACGATATCGCCACTGAATCAGCAAGCTCCCCAATGGGGTTATAGATATGCACACCTGAAGAGTCTCAAACTGGGACAAAATAGCTGTCCAGAACTGCCTGGTTTTCGATGGTTTTCTAACTGAAATCAGTTCATATTCAAACTTGAAACAAGATGTAGTTTTGAGGCATTTCTTCGTAACCGTCCCTTATTTAATAAGGATGTTGATTGTCGTAGCAGTTATAGTTCGGTCTCGGTAGAAACTGGCCGCAGTAGTCATTTAGTTTAATTATACCCGTAATTGGTAGGTCATACGTGCCTCCAAACTTACTTATTGGCTTATTCGCTTTCTAATGGGAGATAGTACTCACTGATATCTATAACGTAGTTATGTTCCATTCACTGTAAGATTTTTCTGTTAACTCACTTTTTTGGTATTTGAATGTTGGAAATTATTGTGGGTTCGCTAGCAATTGTCATCAAAACACAAATTGCAACTATGTGGGGAATAATGTTTTCTTAGGGACTAAAACTTCCTCTACATTCAACTGTGAGGTTGGCCTTTTTGACTATACACCATGATACTGATTGTTATTATTCTATCACTTATTTTTTACAGGAATACATTAATGCACGAGTGTTAACTTCACGATTTTAATTGTTATTATCTTTTATAAAAGGTTTCTAGTTACTTAGGTTATGGAGCAGCTAAAGATTCATTCTACCGTGTTGATTTAAGGGCGAATCCAGATTGTGGTGATCAATGGTGTAATCAACGTCAGACGGAATGGCGTAATTATCTTCAGAAAATGAATCTTCCGCTTAATTCACCCTGGGATATTGAAGAACGTTTAAAAGCAGATCAGGCTAGACAGGAAAAACTCCAAGAAGCTCTCTTGAAATCGAAGCATGAAGAAAATGATTTTGGTATTGAATTAGAATCAGAGTCATCTCCGGATACGGAATCCGCCGCCTTATCCAACTCTGCTTCTGAAATGAACGGTGGTGTAAAACCATTGTATTCAGTGAAGGATAAAAAGGCCGATGCGAATTCTCAGAACACACCAGATTCTTTCGTTTCGCAAACGGATGACAGTCTTGAAGCACTTATGGCTAAAATGAAACAGTTGTGATGACTTTTTTAACTTTTTAACTGGTAAATATCATGGTATAACTGTTGATGATGAACGTCCTTTTCCCGTTGTATTTTGGTGTTTTTTCTGCAGTCCTTGATTTAAATTTTGTGGCAATATGTGATACTTTTGTATTTGTTTCTTTCTTTATATTTCGTCGATAGTATTTTTCTTCTAACAATAGACTTTATTTTGTGTTGTTGGGAAACTGTAATCAATCAAGAGTGAATAAAACCGTTTGCACCGGAATTGTTTTTTATGTAATTTCTGTATTAAATTGTTCGGAAGACTTAGGACTTGCTTGGGTGAATTTCGTTTTTACCCCCCTAATTTACTGGTTGTATCTCATTGAATGATGATGGGCTGGTGTCTTGTTGCTCAGGTTGTGTCGTTGACGTCATTTCAAAGTATTTTCAGCATCTCTTTTAGCTACTTATAATTGTTTTCAGTAAGCAGTATTGCCATGTAGAGTTTTTGCGTTTCCCACTCATTATGTTAGTAATACGCGAATGATTTGTGTCTAGTATGACCATATCTCCCGGTAATTATTTTTCCCTTTTTTCAGCTTGAAAACATCTTCACTTTAGCTACTCTGTTCTGCACAACGAATAGTCTAACCTGTTGTTATGTGATTATAAGTTTCCAGACCGCAGATGCTACGAATATCCTGGAATAATTTGAGTCATTATAAATTATTTAAAATAATCCCAGCGTGTTTAAGAAAAAATCAAAACAAGATTTTTCTGTTTTGATATCTCCTTAAACACTCTGAGATTAATTTAAATAATTTATATCGTTGTTATATGGTTTCGTTTAGTGTCAGTGCTTTTCAAACTTTGATGGTTGTTTGAAGATCCAATTGCATTAGACACTCAAAATCAAATTGCTGAATTCTGTTGCTGAAAGTCACGGACGTTGCACTTTGCTGTTTTGATGTTGAAGTTATGGTGAAAATACTAGACATTGTCAAGATGCTACTCTCTCTTTTTCATAATTGAAGTTCGATTGCTCCGACTGTCTCTTTGGACTACACACAGGAAATTAGTCTGTGGCTGAGGTGAAGATCACGTGTCATATTAGCTACAGTGACTTTCCTCAGATTATACGCTGCACGATGCGGGATAAAGTAGATATATTCAGATTATAGTCAAGAACCCACTGGTTGAAAGTCAAGTGTTAAAGCCAGTTGGCCGTAATTTCAAAGTTGATTGCCTAACTAATTAGTAATCCTTATAAGAGTACGGTTTTGGAATTTTTTTTGCGCATGGAAGACTTGGACTATTTTTTAACCTTTTCTAATAGTTGTGTGTACATGTTTATTCCTCTTTTTGAACTGGCCCTTTGCAGATGCAAACACCAGTTATTCTGAGAGTTGGTTTCAAGGCTGAAAAAACAGGTGGGAGAACGATTGTTCTAATGTGATGCAGTTTATACTTTCCTTATGTATTACTCTTCATTATCGTCTGAGTAGCCTCAAGTAGTGTATTAGCCCGTCCTAAGCCTGGAAAAGAAGGAAGGTTAGGATTGAGACTAGCATTTACAGTCCGTAAAAAACAGCCCGTTCGCTACCAAAGCTTTAAAGCACAGTCAAAATAAATTACTTCAGAGTACACTGTGATGGCAAACCATCTGGCCTGATGGCCACATTGCAAACTTGACTGGTATAACTCAGTATGCACCAAACAAAAAAACTAGACGCATGACACTAGGTACCACCTAATAGCCAATTAATATTTATTCTCCCCTGGAATCAAGAAGACTTCTCGACACGAGGAGGGATGACTCTGGTGGGTGAAGACCTTCAGGTAGCTAGTCTACTGATGTGCTTTCTTACGAAGAAAACGAAAGAGTGTAGGAACATGGGGTGTCTGCACCATGTTTGAGACTGGTAAAGTCAAACAGAATTCAGAAGATATGGTCTAGAAGTGTTTATAATCTGTAAGGACGACAACTAGGTACTCTGACAGGCAGCAAACGGGTGAACAGTCTATTATTCAACATGTATTCAGAAGGAAATAGGGATGGATTGCACACATTGAGGAAGCCTTCAAGTGTTGTCACATGCCACTGTTACGAATGGGAAGCTACAGGTTGAGCCGTCTTCCGAGGCTGACATCTGGAATATGTGAAAAAAGAAATGAAAGCTCCTATTCAGTCATGAAGCCAGCTGAAGATGACATGAGAGAACACAGCACAGTTCTGCTGGAAACAGGTTAGCAGGCAGTTGGATGCCTAGATCTGCGTTTCGTTTACGTAAAAAATCATTTTGACTTCGAAAACACGTGTAGACTATTAATTTGAAAAGCCACTCTTCTGGCCCACTATATACAGATGATGGTAGAAACACCTTCTTTATCACCGGGATTCTCAAGCCAAGGTTATCATCAGACCTGAATTTCGCGAATCTGGTTTGTGTAAGCGGGGCCCGCATGTAAGTGATTGCGGTTTTCCTTAAATACATCTATTGAACATGCATACATTTAGTAATTCATGTCTAACTATTTTCATCAATAGGCGGTCACATCGGCGATCATCTTTTCTTTAACACAAACTCAGTAGTTGAAAATCAGTCGTCACTAAAGTTATTAGCATACATGTTTGTTTAAAAGATTCGCTAACCAATGGACGCAGAATGAGTGTTTTCAATTAATTAATATGTGTATTTGCACTATATGTTATTACTATTAGAAAGACTTCTTGAAGTATAGTTGCTGTCTGTGAATGTTTTGCATATAGCACCTTAAGAATAAATTTTGAACTCCTCAACATCTTTTGAGATACATACGTATAAAATGACAGTTGAAGTCACTTCATAGTTATTATGCAATGAAATACACTCAATTTATTATTTTTTTAGTTTATCATTAGGCTTGTTATCATTATCGATTACAGCTAAAAAATTTTCTAAGACAATAGAGTTTTTAAGTTATCCAAATCTAAGCATTAGAAGGTATTTATATTAGTACGTGCTTAGTTGGTTCACTTTTGATATGATTTTTAATAAAAACGACCGTTTCAGTAACGGAAATAATCAGAAGTGAACAGAACCGAAATCATCAGTTATATACCCAAGATTTTTTGAATAAGCAACTATTTTGAACAAAGAAAGAACGATAAAAATTTTAGGAGATTCTTTTCAACTGCGTGTATCCTGAACAAAATGAAAATATAAGCTACAAAATTTCTGAACATACTTTTGTCACACTGACGTCGAATTATGGATAGAAAGTACGAGCAACATAATTTCAAAAATGATGTAAGTAGGCAAATTATTCAATGTAAAAAGACTAACTATTTACAGTATATTTAGACAAAAAGGGGGTAGAGTTCAGGTTCCTCTCAGAAAGAAGGATTGACTAGAGGCAAAATACAAGATCGAACAGCATGGTAAATTTTTACATATTATGATGGAGAGTTAAAGAGCTTGGGAGTGAATGGTAAAGTAAAACTACGACAGAGACAAAACAACTAATTAAATTTGGAGACTTAATAGTGAGTTCAACTCAGTAAGTGGGAATCAAAATTAAGTGGAATGTTACTCAAAAAAAATTATGGTTACAAGGTTAGTGAGAGATTAGTCACGCCATCTTTCGGTATACCGAGGTTGAGTCGAAGTCTTTTGATAACAACGGCTTCTGTGAACCGAAGTTGTCGTGGTTTTCTTTGAGTATTGATTATTTTGAAAGCCTCACTAATTCCGACTGTATGTCCTGTGTCAATGAGGTGTCTGGTAATTGCCTTTCATATAGAGATTATTCTGCTTATATCTTAGTTCGTTCTTTGCTCAAACCGGTTGTAAGAAAAGCAACTTTTTGTTTGCTAGAACTTAGTTCACTTGTTCAGAAGGAGTGCATATTTATCAAATTGGTAGATAATCTGTGTAAAACAGTGAATATTACTCACCGAAATTTCTCCGAGAAAATACCTGATTGGAAATAAACACTAGTATATTCCATATGAAACTTAACTTCCTGATTAGACCATCATAAAAACCAAAGTTAATAACAGATATTGCCACTGAAACAATATATGACCTCCTGAGTGGTTAACTAATTGACATTTCAACTCGTCGCAGGACTTGTCAGAATTTTCAAGTTTCAAATAACTTGAAATTCATGGTTATTTTAATATTTGTGGTGGGCTGTTTTCTTTTCATTCCATACTCACAAACTTGATTCACTCAAATTCTTCTTGAGACGTGAACATTAATTCCATGGCTTAGCAATTAAAAGTTGCTGCCGAAATCTCCAGCTTTTCCGTTGTGCGTAAACAAGACTGGATAGGTCAGTTTATATTATGGTGAAATTTTGAGATCAGTTTGTGTTTTGGAATACAAGCCTCGAGTGTAAATGCTGCTAAACCAGCAGAAATAATGTTAATTCTTTTTCAGTAAACCAGTAACAATTAAGGTCTGAAATTCCCAGTTCTGATTTGGCTAATAAATCCCATGTCCGTTCTTTTCAATCTATTTAAACCGTCCAGAACAGTATTTGAATTTAAGTATTAAGCGTTAATCGCTTTAAAAGTGTTTCTTCTTAAATCAGGAGTCATTTTTTCTGTTTTGAATGTTCCTGTTGTTTATCGAAACTATCAGAAGTGATGTGTGTGAATTCTCGAAATGAACGTATCGCTAATACTGCTAGTCTTCACTTTAATAAATGACATTTGAGTGCAGGCTTCGTTCGCCTCGATAGCCATTATATTTAGTACTGCCAGTAACCTTTGAAAATCAGTGTAAATACCAGAAGATTAGGCATTGAACTGCCAGCAGATAAAATCTGTAATAATAGTTTGCAATAGTGAGCTATCCGTCTCCAGCACCTATTTGATTAATCTATGTAGAAAATTAAGTCCCTTGTATGAATGCCTTGATTGTTATATAGAAAGAAATATTTTTATGTAACATTCATAGGAAAAAAATGTGTTACAGTCTACCAGTGGCTTACTGATTCGAAATGACAGGTGTCTAGATTTCTTTCTCTTTTTATTTATTACCAATAATTATCTATTTAATTATTTGTTCTTATAATGAACATCTGCTAACTACCATTAACAAACAGTAATTATGAATAGGATAATATTTCTGGAGCATGCCACACATACACACTCATGCAGCAATTTTTTTTATGAATAAAATTCAGACATGTCGCGACTATTGTCTTCACTGGAGAGTATCAGGTGGTTAAAATAATGGACTACATGGTACAATAATGCATCCGTTTAACGCGCCACACAACTTGACAA